TTTCCATGTGCTGGCAGGAGGAGTTTAGCATCTGATTTGAATTTTATTTTGGAAACTAAATTCGAAGGGAGATTCCACATCATTCAGAGCTTGAGCAATCACCACCTTGGGGCGATGAACATGATTTGCATCTAGTCAACCCAGTTTGCAGTGCCGTGTCTTAAGGAGTGACGGTGGCTCTGTGTAGTGTTATCAAGGAACCGAATATTGCCACAGGACTGAATGCAAGAAAAGAGTAGATGGATTTGGAGCTGAAGTCTTGTTCTGTCACAGGTTGGAGTACAGTGGCGCGATCTTGGCTCACTGCAGTCTCCACCTCCTGGGTTCAAGCCATTCTCCTGCCTCAGCCTCCCAAGAAGCTGGGACTACAGGCACGTGTCACCAATTTCTTTCTATTTTTTAGTAGAGACGGGGTTTCACCATGGCCAGATGGTCTCGATCTCTTGACCTTGTGATCCACCTGCCTTGGCCTCCCAAAGTGCTGGGATTACAGGCATGGATATTCTTCTTATAATTGGATTGGAGTTACAGTTTACGAAGGAGGACGATTACAAAGGTAAAGTGCTATTTTCATCAAACCATATCTAGGATATATACTATCAAAGTGTATCACTGTGGTTGACTTTGATTATCTAGGTGAGTAGTATTCATCACCTTTTTCCATCAGAAAGTTGCTGACTGACCCTTTCCACACTGTACTCTTTGGAAGGAAGTCACTATGCACTGTCCATACTTAAGGATCAGGGAATAAAGTGTCCCCTCCTTTAGTATAGAATATTTACATAAACTATTTAGAATAGCTCTGCATGAGTAATGTGTCTCTTCTCCCCCATTTATTAATTTTTTTCATGGCTCTCATTATCCATCATCCCTTACTAAATTGTTCAGTTATAGTATATATGTATAGCAGTATCAGAATTGTTAACTTATACTCCAAAGGGAAACAACTTTATCAGCTATAGAATAGTGCTTATATACTATATGTAGTTCCTTTTGCCTTAATTATATAGTTTATATATATATGGCTTTATTATATAGTTCATTTTGCCTTTAGTCTTATGGACTCTATTCATTTCCAGAGTTACTTAGGTTAGTACCTTCCTCCCTCCATCTTTAGTGAAGCTGTTTCATACATTTATAGTACAGTTACATTGTCTTGTCACAGTCTGCATTTCTTTCTGGGATCCTCTAATTTCCAATACAATTTTTTGAAAATGTGTGCATACACTAAAGTTCACTTTTTGTACAGTAAAGTTCTATGGGTTTTGACAAATGCATAATGTTGTACACTTACCATTAAAGTATCATACAGAATGGTTTTACTACCCTAAAAATCTCCTGTTTTCACCTCTAATCCTTTCTCCAACCTCCTTGGTTCCCTGACAACCACTGATCTTTTTTTTTATTTCCTCCCTTGAGACAGGGTCTCAGCTCTGTTACCCAGGCTGCAGTGCATTGGCATGATCTTAGCTCACTTAGGCTATGACCTCCCTGTCTCAAGCAATCCTCCCACCTCAGCCTCCTGAGTAGCTGGGACTACAGGCATACACTACCACACCTGGCTAATTTTTTTGTTTTTTATTTTTTGTACAGATGAGGTCGTGAACTCCTGAGCTCAAACAATCCTCCTGCCTTGGCCTCTCAAAACATTGGGATTACAGGCATGAGCCATCATTCCTGGTCACCACTGATCTTTTTACTATCCCTGTAGTTTGCTGCCCAAACTGGAATGCAGTGATGAGATCATAGCTCACTGCGATGTCACCCTCCTGAGCTCAAGCCATCCTCCTGCCTCAGCCTTCAGAGTAGCTGGGACAACAGACATGCACCACCACACCCAGCTAACTTTTAATTTTTTTGTAAAAACAGGTTCTCACTATGTTGCATAGGCTGATCTCAGACTTTTCTGGTCTCAAGCAATCATCCCACCCAAGCCTCCCAAAGTGCTAGGATTACAGAATTGAGCTACCATGCCTGACTGATAGCTCATTTTTTAAATTACTAAATAATATTCCATTGTATGGATGTGTCCCAGTTTGATTATTCATTCACCTATTGAAAGACATCTTTGTTGTTTCCAAGTTTTGGTGATTATGAATAAAGTGGCTATGCAAATGTATGTGCAGGTTTTTGTGTAGACATAAATTTTCAAATCAATTTAGATATCTAGGAGCACAACTGCCAGATCAAATGGTAAGGCTATGTTTAACTTTATAAGAAACTGCCAAACTGTCTTCCAAAGTGGTTGTACAAATGAGGTTGCATATCATTTTTGTAAGTCTATTTTCTATCTTGTGGTGAGATGTCTGTTCAGATCTTTCACCCATTTTAAAATTGGGTTTTATGTTCTCTTATTGTGGGGCTTTGTATATCTTGGATACAAGTCTCTTATCAGATGTGTGTTTTGCAAATATTTTCTCCCAGTGTACGGCTTGTCTTTTCATTCTCTTCATAGTCTTTTGCAGAGAACAAGTTTTAAAATTTTAATAAAGTCCAATTGATCATTTTTTCTTTCATAGATTACGGTTTTGATGTTGTGTTTAAAAAGTCATCACCAAGCCCAAAGTCACCTTGATTTTCTGCTATGTTTTCTTCTAAAAGTTTCATAGTTTTGCATTTTATATTTAGGACTAGGACCCATTTAATTTTTGTGAAAGGTATAAAGTCTATGTCTAGATCATTAAAATTTTTCTTTTTGCAAGTGGACATCAAATTATCCCATGCCCATTTGTTGAAAAGACTATTCTTTCTCCATTGACTTTCCTTTGCCCTTTTTTCAAAAATCAGTTGACTGCATGTACATAGGTCTATTTTGGGGCTCTCTACTCTGTTTCATTAATCTATGTATCCATTCTTTCACTAATATCTTGCTGTTTTGATAACTGTGGCTTTATAGTAACTCTTGAATTTAGGTAGCATTTGTTCTCTGACTTCATTCTTTCTTCTTCATATTGTGGTGACTATTATGAATCTCCTACCTTTTCATATATATCCAGAATTTGTTAGTTGATATCCACAAAATAGCTTGCTTGCTGGGAATATGTTTGGAATTACATTTAATTTATAGATCACATTGGGAAGAATTGATATCTTAACAATATTAATTCTTCCTCTCCATGAACATGGAATATTTCTTCATATATTTAAATCTTCTAGATTTCTTTCATCAGCTGTGGTTGATTCCTAGTTTAATTCCATTGTAGTCAGAGAACATACTTTGTACTATTCTTTTAAATTGGTTAAGCTATGTTTTATGGCCTAGATTGTGGTCTATCTCAGTGAATGTCCCATGTGAGCTTGAGAAAGAATCTATATTCTGCTGTTATTGAATTAAGTATCATATAAATGTCAATTAGATCAATTTGATTTTTTTTCAGTTCAACTCTATCCTTGCTCATTTGCTGCCTCTAGATGTATTAATTACTTTTTTTAAATTGTGTGAAAATATTCTATTATAACAGTGAGTTTACCTATTTTTCCTTTCATCTTTTTTTGCCTCACATATTTTGGTGCTCTGTTGTTACGTACATACATATTAAGTATTGTTATGTCTTCCCAAATAGCTGACCCCTTTAACTTTATGTAATGTCCCTGTCCCCTGATAAATTTCCATGTTCTGAAGTCTGCTTCTATTGAAATTAACATAGCTACTTCAGCTTTTTTTTTTTTAATTATTAATGTCAGCATGGTATAGCTTTCTCTATCCTTTTGCTTTTAATGTATGTTTCTTGTGAATAACACACAACTGGGCTTTGTTTTTGATATCCACTCTGACAATCTGTCTTTTAACTGCTGTAATCAGACTATTCGCATTTAAAGTGGTTATTGATACAGCTGGATTAATATCTACAATGTTTGTAACTGTTTTGTTTCTCACTTGACTTTCACATCTAATTTTGAATTTGTACTTTCATATTCTTTGTCTTAAACAGAACGTTTGCAGCCCCCTCAAAACCTGGAGCCACCACCTACCTTGGACACATTATATCGGTATATGATGGCAGAAAAGCTGCACATCAGTCTTGGCAGGCAGGGCAGGAGAGATGCAGGGCTTCACAGATGCGACTGTGCAACGCACAGATGCACTGGGTCTTTGCCTGGTGGGTTCAAAGCCTCTAGACGCTGACAAACGCTCCAGCCAATGAGTGGTTTCCCACAGGCCGACACGGAGGGCAAGGGGCGGGACTCCCTCCTGCCTCTCGCGGGCTGGGTTCGGTCTCCGCGAAGAGGCTGCGTTGGGCCCTGAGTGGGCGTGGCTTACGTGTCCGCAGGCTCTCCAGGCAGGCCTGGCAGGGGGGCCAGGTTGCCATGACGACCGCGGCTAGGTCGCAGCAGACTCGGTTGGTGACTCCGGAGCGTCGAAGAGCGTGTACCTGTCGTTCGCTGTGGCTCAGTTTCCCAGTAATCCATGACAACAGCAGGGATAACAGGGTCCCCTGTCTTTTTTTTTGTCCGAATTCCTCGACTGGCGACCCCGTGCCCGGCAGGCTGCACCGCGCCGCGCGCACTGACTCGGGCCTGCGCGCGCGCCCCCTGGCCGGCTCTGGGGTGGGGAGGGGGCTTCGAAGATCCCCAGAAAACCGCCCGGCGAGCCACGAGCCCGCGGGCTGCAGGCTCCGCTTCCTCGTGGGGTGTTCACTTGGTATCAATGGGTTGATTTGCTGCCAGTTAGAAGCACCTTAAAAAGGGGCCGGGGGCCGTAGTGGGGGGCTTGTCTGAAGGAGGCTCTGGGCTTGCTGATCCGCGCAGCGGTTTGTCGCGCGGCTGCGGGGGAACGGCCCACGGCCGCGGTAACAGGGCTTCGTCTTCTTTGCAGAGCCATGGGCAGCAGGAAGAAGGAAATTGCCCTGCAGGTAAGCCTCAGGGGGCGCTAGCTTCCAGCATTGGGTTGGGGTCGGGCAAGAGGAGGGTGATTGGAGCGGGTTGCAGTATAAAAGTGTCATTCTGTTTGCCAGCAATACTGATGGTGTTCTCAAACTTGAGTGATGTACCCTTCTGTTTTAAAGGGACAAAACTTATCTTGGAGCCCCAGTGATGACACATTTTATGCAAACAAAATTTATGCAAACAAAATTGAGTAGAAGCTGTTTATATTTATAGTGCTTATACAACCACAAAACCTAAATATGCATTAAATAAAACTACAAACCAGGAAAATATGAATCAACATAATTCGATGTGACCATTATTTTGTTGCTGTTGTTGTTGAAACATAACTGCAGCTTGCACAGAGAATACGGTACAGGTTCTTTTGAGTTTGGGCATGAGTCTGTAACTGTGTGCTCTGTGGAGACCCAGTTTTCCCACCAGTGTTCTCATAAAATTTCACTTATTAACAAATATGTTTTGAGATATATTATGTGCTGTGCATTTGATATATAGTGTGCTTACTTCATTTGCACCTGGGACAAGTGAATTCAGAAGCCAGCAACTGCTCTTCTTCTTGGTGGTTGATTCTGAAGTGATGGTAAAAGCATGCAGACATAGACCCTGGAATTGGGAGAGAGTGCTTTGTCATAGGAGATCATCTGGATGATCTGTAACATGGGAACATTTTAAAACAAACTTTACAATGTCTCATCGTCAGCTGGCTCCAATAAGATGCATACTCAGGCTACAGCGTCTCCTGGATAGTAGAGCTTTAGTGGTTTTGAGACATCTGGTTTCTCTTTTATTGTCCTCAGTGGGATCAGCAGTTTACGTGTGGAGTTCAAAAGCCTAGTGGTTTAACAAAGAGGAACGGGCAGGGAAAGCAGCATCATTCTAAGGGTAGTCCATACTGGGGGTGGGAGGGGTGTGGGGTGGGGTGGAATATTTAGACTGGAAGTCAGAAGACCTGATGTTGTTCTTGTGTCCTCTAGAGCCGACTGTGTATTTGACTACATCACATAACCTCTCTGGGCTATAGCTTGCCCATCTATGGAATGAGGATGTTGTGTGAATTATCCCCAAGGGCCTTCTTCCAGCCTTGATATTCTAGGATTCTAGAGTTAGAAGGCACTTCATATGTGAATGTTCTGGGCAAAGTAAATTCTGAGCAACTGGTCGTACCATTCATTGCTGTGTGACTCATTTCCTCAACTCCCTGGCCTCCATATCCTTTACGTAGACAGGAGGGATAATACATCACCTGCAGAGCTGTGATGAGACTTCTTTAGACACTTCCTGGATTGTCTGATGCGGTCTGTGGTGTCTCTAATGTTATTGTCCCGTATGATGGCCATTTCATGTGTTGATGCCCTAGATCTCCTATGGGGGTAATAACTTTTGTTAGCAACATTGTTATTTTTTCATGTGTATTACTCAGGCTCTAAGTACAATGCAGTACTCAAAGTAAGTGCTCCCTCCTGCTGAGGGAGGAGATTGAGTGGCCTCCCCTCCTCTCTTACATTGAAGCATCTGTGTAAAAGTCACCTCTCTATAAGGTAAACCCCTTGAAAGCAGTACCTAAAGTTGGCTGACCCAGGAACCTTGTCCTCTCTCTCAGCAAGGTTAGTCAGGGTTCCATTTGTGACTGAGACAGACAAAAATCACAAGGGGCAGTCTGGTTAAAAGGTGCCACACATTCCCTATTCATTCCCTACCAAATGCAGGGCTTAGTGAAGTCCAGATAGTTCCTACACTGTTCTGCTCCTGCCCAGCTCCCAGGGCTAAGATTCTTCAACTGCCCAGAGTCCTGGCCCCAGAGCTAGTGGGGCTCACTCCATGACAGGGGTGGGCCACAGAGAGTTGCTGGTGACTTACGGCTGAGCCTCTGGGTAGGGGTGGGGGCCCTTCTGAACGCTTCTGTCACTTTCCTCAGGACTGTAATTGTGGGCCCAGGGGTATGTCAGTCCAGATCTCTCACTTCATTTAAGGCACCAAGAAGACTTTTCTGGGTTTCTTTTTCTTCTACTTTTCATTGAAACTAAAAAGTAAGGAGTACGCTTCCTTTAAAAGAAAGAATTTTTTGAGACAATCTCACTCTGTCCTATCACCCAGGCTGGAGTGCAGTGGTACAATCTCAGCTCACTGTGACCTCCACCTCCCAGGATCAAGTGATTCTCATGCCTCAGCTTCCCGAGTAGCTGGGATAACAGGCATATGCCACCACGCCCAGGGCAACTTTTGTATTTTTTTTTTTTTTAAGTAGAGACAGGGTTTCACCATGTTAACCAGGCTGGTTTTGAACTTCTGGCCTCAAGTGATCTGCTTGCCTTGGCCTCCCAAAGTGTAGAAAGTGTTGGGATTACAGGCGTGAGCCACCACGCTTGGCCAAAAAACGGACTTTTAATAGAGGATTTTCAGGTGTTACATGTTTCTTGCCCTTATTGCCAATAATACATCCTATCTTTTTAATGGGACACAGACCTTACAATACCTGTATTAAGAACAGTAGTAGGCCAGGTGCAGGGGCTCACGCCTGTAATCCCAGCACTTTGGGAGGCCGAAGGCGGATCACTTGAGGTCAGGAGTTCATGACCAATTTGGCCAACATGGTGAAACCTCGTCTCTACCAAAAATACAAAAATTAGCCGGGTGTAGTAGCAGGTGCCTCTTATCCCAGCTACTTGGGAGGCTGAGGCAGGAGAATTGCTTGAACCTGGGAGGAAGAGGTTGCAGTGAGCCACGATCATACCACTGCACTCCAGCCTGGGTGACACAGGAAGACTCTGTCTCAAAATAACAATAACAAAAACCAGTAGTAATTTTGGTGATCTTTTAATTCATATAGTTTCAAAGTAGCTCACCACAAAAATATGTTAATTACAAAGGAAAGGAGGATAATTTTACAGACCACAGGCCTGACAGACCATGTTAATCCAGTGATCAAAGCGATCATCATCAGTAACAGGCAGATGGAAATTGTGTATCACCTGCTAGGTACCAGCATCTGCTACTCACATGATCTTCAGCTTCTCCAACATGCCAATCAGTCCAGCCAATTTCAACCAATCCAAACACACACAGTCTGAATCCAGTCAGAAGGAAACATCAGATATAGGCCAACTGAGGGACATTCTACAAAATAACTGGCATGCAGTTTTCAAAGTGTCAACATTGTGAAAATAAGAGAAAGGCTAAAGAATTCTTCTGGACTAAACAGACTTACAAATAAATCTAGCATATGTTTCTGACTAGCTCCTTTGCTACTCAGGACATTATGGGATAAATAGGAAAACTTGCATTCTATCTAAGGATTAAAAGTTCGCAATATGTCAGTGTTTTTTTCCCCTGATTTTGATTATCATACTGTGTTATGTAGGAATAGTATATTCAGGGGTAATGAGATAAAAAGCTGTAACTTACTTTCAAATACCTAAAAACAAAAACCTAAATCTTCTTTATACTGTACTTGCACACTTTCTGTAAGTTTGAAATTATTGGAAAGCAAAAAACATTATACAGAAATGTTTACTATTGGCCAGGCATAGTGGCTCACGCCTGTAATCCCAGCACCTTGGGAGACCAAGGTAGGCAGATCACTTGAGGTCAAGAGTTCGAGACCAGCCTGGCCATATGGTGAAATCCCATCTCAACTAAAAATACAAAAATTGGCTGGGCATCGTGGTGGGCACCTGTAATCCCAGCTACTGTACTTAGAAGGCTGAAGCAGAAGAATTGCTCGTACCTGGGAGGCAGAGGTTGCAGTGAGCTGAGATCACGCCTCTGCACTACAGTCTGGGAGACAGAGCAAGACTCCATCTGAAAAAAAAANAAAAAAAAAAAAAAAAAAAAAAAAAGATTTTTACTATGAAGAGAGATAATATGTATTTCTCCTTGTATTTCATATTTATAAAACCAGAACTCTGTGGATAAGAAAAAAAAATGTGAGTGAATGGCAACAAATTCAACTCAATTCTGATACTGAGTGAAAACACAAATTTCAAAACGAAACCTACAGTTTGATACATTTATGCACATTTTAAGGACACAAAACAATTTATATATTGTTTCTGGACAAATAACATGTAAAATTATTTTTTAGATGCCCGAGATTAGTACACATCATTCTTAAGGTAGTGTTTTTTTTCTGAGTAGGGAAGCAGGGAGAGAAGGAAGGAGAAAAGACAGGGGAGAGAAGATAACTTGAACTGAACTTGTAAGAATTTCAGAGATAGAAAGAGAGAAATCTAGAGCAAATAGATTGAATTGTTTCCCTGCCTGTGCCCTCAGTAATATGGCATTTGATCCTCTTTGGCTTTAGGTCAACATCAGCACCCAAGAGCTTTGGGAGGAAATGCTCAGTTCCAAAGGACTAACTGGTAATTCAAAGTAAAATAAGTTTTTAGATCCATTCTTTTCAAAATCATTAAATGGTGTGATGAACCATGAAGAGAAGGGCTGCAATAAACACCATTTTCCTATTACCTTCAGCCTCATAAAACCAGGTGGTGTGTGTGTGTGTGTGTGTGTGTGTGTGTATCTGGCTTGAACATCAGTGGATTCAGTTCAGGAAATGAGTCAGTACTCAGTACTCAGGGTTGTTTGGTGTTAAAATTAACAGAAAACCTCTTCTAATTACCTCAGGCATTAAACGAGAATGCATTGAAAGGAATACAGGGATCTCTTGGAACTCAAAGGATGGAAGGAGAGCCAGACATCACCAGGACTGGTACCTGCAGTCATTAGGAAACAGCACAGCCACTGTCTATGGGCCTCCTCATCCCTAGCCTCCTCGCATTAGTCATTTGTTGCTGCATAGCAATTTACCCCAAAACTTAATGGTTTAAAACAAACATTGATTACCCTGTTTCTGTGGGTCAGGAGTCCGGGCATAGCTTAGTTGGGTGCCTCTGGCTCAGAGTGTCTTACCAGGGTAGTTAGGGTGTCAGACAGGGGATCTCAAGGCTCAACAAGGAGCTGATTTGCTTCTAAGCTCTTTTGTGTGGCTGTTGGCAGACCTAAGAAGATCCACTTTCAAACTCATTCATGAGGCTGTTGGTAAGAAGGATTCAGGTCCTCACTGACTGTTGGCTAGAGATACTAATTTCTTGTCATTGGTTTCTCCATGAGGCTACTCATGGCCTGGTAACTTGCTTACCCCAAGACAGGGCCCTAAGAGAGAGCACAAGTTGGAAGTCACAGCCTCTTGTTAGCCTAATCTTGAAAGTGATATCCCATTGTTTTTGCCATACTCTGCTCATTAGAATCTGGTCACTAGGTCCAGCCCACACTCCAGGGCAGGGGATTACACAAGTACAAGAGGACCAGAGGCCAGGATCATTAGAGACATCTTAGAGGCTGCCTACCACCTGCTCTCACCCACGCTTTCCTTCTCTTTTTCATTTACTGCAGATACCTCTGTGCTCTGTTACTCTGTGTGCCTGCTCAGATTTTCTCTCTGCGAATATACCTGCTCAGTATGCTTGTATCTGATCTTAGCCTTGCCATTAACGCCCCCTCCACCAAATGACTTCAGCATTCAAACCCCTCCCTCTCTCATGACTCAGTCTGTCTTTCCAGCTCCTTCACCCACCATTTCCTGAGGTGTGTCCTGAGCTCTAACATGTTTCCTAAACATGCTACAAGTTTTCCCACTTCTTTATTTTACTGTTTTTTTCTTTACTGTCGTTTCTACTACCTGGGATATCATGGCCCATCACAAACTGCAGAAACCTTTCTTATTCCCAGACCCAGCTGAAAATTAGCCTCCTTGTATGAAATCTTTCTGGAACCTCTGTGTGGTCACATCCCTTGTGGGAGCCCCGAGGGCACATGGAGTGAGACTCTGTCTCAGTCCCTCCAGCACACACCCTGCTTGCTGTAGCCCCTGTAGGGAAAGATCATCACGGCTTTTCTCCTGGACTCTAAACACAACAGCATTGGCTTTTGCTTTGTCTTTTGAGATGGAGTCACCCAGGCTGGAGCGCAGTGGTGCAGTCTCAGCTCACAGCAACCTCCGTCTCCCAGGTTCAAGTGATTCTCCTGCCTCAGCCTCCCAAGTAGCTGGCGTTACAGGCACGTTCTATCACGCCCAGCTAATTTTTGTATTTTCAGTAGACATGGGGTTTCACTGTCTTGGCCAGGCTGATCTCAAACTCCTGACCTCAAATGATCCGCCCACCCTGGTCTCCCAAAGTGCTGGGATTACAAGCGTGAGCCACCGCCCCCAGCCAGCATTGGCTTTTTCATCTTGGATTTAGGCTGAGTGGGTGCTAGATAAATGCTGATCCAGTTGTGTGGGTGTGAGTATTGCCACACTCTACCGTTGGGGGGATTATAAGCCTTTTTGATGGTGCTAACGCTTAACTATTTTGTCCATGTGTCTTGCCTTGGCAACTGGAACATGGCTCCAGGTAAAACAAATCATTATTTCTATTTCTTTAACAACTGTGAAAAAACCAGCATCCCATAATTTTTGAGAATGTATCATGTGTCAACCACCCTGTTAAGCACCTTATGTGATAGTGGCTAACATCCACTGAGCAGTGACGCTCTGCCAAGCCTGGTCTAAGTGGTTCAAGGGCCTATGTTGACTGAAGGCAGCAGGGCCTCTTCTCTGCTCCTTCTCATCAGGCAGACTAGAGGAATATATATATATGGAGCATATAAATAAATAGATACATGCTTTTCTCTCTCTCCAGCCAGGAGAAATTTGCTTCCAAAGTGAACCACCAGCATCTTGAAAATGTTGCCTTCTGTTGGCTCATTTTCACCTGCTTTCAAACATGCCAAAGTCCCTTTAAGCTTACACAGACACACACAGACACACACACATGCATGACATGTGCACACACACACATACATGCAACACGCAGACACGCCTTTTTATTGTCTCTGCCATTCCTTCCATGTGGCTTCTCTCAGAGTCAAATCAAACACTTCCTCTCTGGTTCCTCCCACTTCCTACCCCCAACCCCTACTTCCTCCTTAACCTTGTGAAGGTGCCGTTGTGCCTATCACTCCTCACAGAGCCAGGGCGTCCAAGGGGGAGGGAGAAGCTGGTAGAAATGGTGGGTTCACTATCAATACAAATACAGAACAGAGAATTTAGGCTAACTGGGCCCTAGCTTTTTTCCTTTGAGATTTCAGTGGGCCTGTGTACAGGGCCCTCTATGTCTTTGGGGACTGTTTCCTGGCTTGACCCAAATGCCTTTTTTGGCCTTCACCCACATAACTGTAGTAGGATGAAATTTTAAAAATATGTCAATTGTGAAACTCTTGTCTTCAGAAAAGCCCAGAACTTTCTCCTCTACCTGGATGCTATGGAACCCAAATCCCACTCTCCTGCCCCCCTCTCCTGCTTGGATGTCTGGTGGCCTTTGTGATCGCTTATCTTAGCTTTTCTGGTTGGTACTGGAAACCCGGCCTGTTTAGACTTGAGTTTGCTCTTCTTTCCCCTCCAGCAATCTCTCCCCACCATCCAGCCTTGACATACACTATAGATTGGGACTGAAGAAGAAAAAGATATCTAAGTTTCTCTCTAGCTCTCTATCAGGCTCACTTTCTGGGAGAAAAATGTTGATTTTCTAAAGTAAATAAAACTCTACCCAAAGAAAGTTGCTTTTAATTCATCAGAGGAAAAAGTCAAAGTGGTGTTTATTATCAAAGCATTAGATAAAAGTCAATTGTGTGCTGCTGGGTCACCTACAGTGACCTCTCCCTTTTAGAATAGACAGTTTCAGTCTAATTCCAGTATCTTTGAGGCCCACTCTATGTTTGGTCTAACCCTAAATGTAGCCCGAAGAACCCTTAAGGTAAAGGAGCCATATTAAGAAAATAATTTTCTGCTATACTTAACTATATTTAGAATTCAGTATACCAAGTTCATAAGAATGAGGCTAGATGTGTTTCCATGCTTGCTTATAATCTCATGGGGTAAGTAAATCTAGATACAAACGAATGTCCATTTGAGGGGGATTAGAATGTCTGGTATAAATCTTGCCTGGCGTGGTGGGAGCCGGTGCCTACTGAGTGTTCCTGCTTCTTGGTTCCACACAGTTGTTGATGTCTATCAAGGCTGGTGTGGCCCCTGCAAACCCGTGGTGAGCCTCTTCCAGAAGATGAGGATCGAGGTCGGCCTGGACCTTCTGCACTTTGCATTAGTAAGATTCTTTCTCAGCCAACAGTCATACAACATTGTTAAAAGAATTTAAAAATTAAAACAGGAAGGAGAAGTGTGAGAGAGGCTTTTTCCAGATCATTGAAAAGGAATCACTGTGGACTTTTTGTTGATACTGCCATGATACTTTTTAATTTCTCTAGCTATGAAGGTTCCTATTCCCCACCCCACTCCCTATATCACTCTTGGCTTGAGCAGTTCTTGGTGCTGTATGAAGAGAAGAAATATATGTCACTCAAATGCATATTCTCCTTCTTTTTCCTTTCTCCTGTCACCCAGGCTGGAATGCAGTGGTGGGATCACAGCTCACTGCAGCCTTAGCCTCAAGTGATCCTCCCACCTCAGCCTCCCAACTAGCTGGGACTACATAGGCACATGCCACCATGCTTGGCTAGTTTTTTGACTTTTTGTAGAGACAGGGTCTCACTATATTGCCCAGGCTGGTCTAGAACTCCTGGGCTCAAGCAATCCTCCCACCACAGCCTCCCAAAGTGTTGGGATTACAGGCATGAGCCACCACCCCAGCCTCATCTCCTTGGCTCGTGAACACTGTTGACTGAAATGTCACTTTTGTAGCAAAGGGTTTTAAGATTTCCATTCTCTACTCCATAAAGGGGAACTTTTAGCAGATATTTATTTGGATTAATGTATGGAAATGGGAATAAATTCCAGGGAAGAGACACTGTTGATATGCTGCATGGGTTTGAAGTTCATAGGCAGTAAGACAGGAGAAAATGTAACTTACACTAATTACTCAGAAGTTGGACTTCAAGGACTTTGCAGTTCCTCCTTTGGCAGTCAGTCAGTGCTTCCATGGGGAATGTGCTGCAGAAGGGCTTGCATGGGGATCTCTTATGCCCACGGGCAGCAGGTTTCTCAGACACTGAAGGCAGCGCCTGAAGACCTTCACCTTGGTTGTCAGTCATGGCTGCAGAAGGACAGTAGACAGTAGAGCTCCCTTGGACTGGTGCAGTAGCTGCGTGGAGCAGGAGATACTCTTGCTACCTCCTCGTTTGATTCTTCAAGAGAGTACATATCTGCAATTTTACAGGACAGCTCTGATTAGTAGGAGCAGCATGAGAGCAAGTCGGGGCTCTACTTGGGGAAGGCAGTCCTGGGGGTGTTCTGTCCCGTGTGGTCTCCCACTGATTGATCGGGCCCTGTACCTGCTGCACCCAGGGTTGCCTGCTGATAGTTGGTTTTCTTTAGGCAGAGGCAGATCATCTTGATGTCCTCGAAAAGTACCGAGGGAAGTGTGAGCCAACCTTTCTGTTTTATGCTGTAAGTACATTTTCAGAACCAGAACTATTTGATGATTGCAAATCATTAGAGTTCAAAATAGAAGCAGCTCACTGACATTAATTCTTCCTGGGAGAATTAACGAGAACCACAAAGAGGCCTCAGGGATTCAAACAAGTGATGCTGTTTTCTCTGATGCCTCCCAGTCTGTTTTTATGATGTTGGCTACATACACTCCCATCTAAGTCATGATGCAAGTTGCTGACTAGGATGGTAGCCTGAGGGCCCTGCACCCAAGGAGGTGGGTGACACAGCACCCTGGTGGTCACTGTGCTAGGGTGGTCTTCCTGACTTGCTGTACATGAAGAAAGACTCCCAGTCACTCAAATGCACAAGCTTCTTCCTGGCTCATGAACACTCTAGACTGACTTCACTCTCAGAGCACAGGGTTTCAAGATTTCTATCCTCTGCTCCATAAAGGGAAATTTTTAGTAAAAACAGATACTCCTTTATGGGGCAGACAAGCTCTTCATTCACTTTATTTAATCACAGATGTGAAGATATGTTTACAGAAAGTTAGAAATGAGAGGGACTATTTCACGAAGCCAAGCGGCTCAGTGTTTTGAAAATGTAATTTGGATGTCCTTGGGTGTGACATCCATGGTCCAGCTCCATGCCACTTAGGGCCCACTGTTTCACACTTGGCTTCCTAGGTTTAGGCCACCTGCCAGGCCCTGATGGCAATGGATCAATATACCTCCTCACTCAGATCAGCCCCCTCATTGTAGAGTCAGGAAAACCGGGTCTACTCAACCAAGTCTCTGATCGCCAGAGATCAGAGCACATCTGAGGTGTCCTGCCAAGGGAAGGCAGCAGAAGTGAGCACCCTGCATGGACCTGGGGTCGAGAGACCTTGATTGTGGGCACACTACTAGACACTCTTGCCATCTCTTGAAAGAGATTAATATTTGCCAAGAGCATTTCATGCTGTTTGTAACGTATTCTAGGGAGGAGAACTGGTGGCCGTGGTTAGAGGAGCAAATGCTCCACTGCTGCAGAAAACCATCCTAGACCAGCTGGAGGCGGAAAAGAAAGTGCTGGCTGAAGGCAGAGAACGGAAAGTGGTAACTGGAGGTCACTTCTACAAGCAGCAAACTCACAAGTGCACTAGTAGGGCGAGATCAGCAGTTCCCATCCCCCTCACCCGACTTTCCTGGAGCCATTGGTGGACAGCTTCATAAAAGTTTCACCTAGGTCTGTTCTTCATGCAGGAGAGCACTGTGCCCTGGTGATATGTGTGCATTTTGAAACCTTCTTATGAAAGCCATCTCTTTCATCCAGAGCGCTTTAATTTATTTTATCCATTTCCCCTTCATCTCCGACTTCAGCACTAGGAGGTGAAATCTCTCCTAGTGAGCCACTGGCTCATATTCCTGAAGGTTTTACTTGTGAACACAGAGGGCTCATTTCTTTAACTTAGAAATTAAGCTCTGTCATTAACATGAGAAGCAGAATCAGCATAGCTTGTGATTTTGATAAATTATTTCCACGATAACACTGACTGCCAGTTCTTCAAATAACTGGCTGCCTTTGAAAATCAACACACGTTAGGTAGAGAGGTATTTCCTGGTGCTTTAAGCATCTGCCAAAACTGACTCAATGCTGTTCCATGTTCATTGTTCAAGTTTTCTTATTAAATTCCAAATAGCAAAGCTCCATTTTTTATACAATGGATTAGAATCAAATCATATTTTCCCCAAGAAAGCTGGCAATTTTCCCTCACAAAAGAAAACTGCAAATGCTTACATTCGTGTGCCTCCTCCAAGGGAATATTATCTCTCTGTACTACTTCTCTGTACTTTGTAGTCAGTCTCTCAATATTTACTTCAATTCTTTGTCTTCTTATCAACTCTCTATCTCTACTTAACGCTTATGAAAAGAGGCAGACTCTAAAACTTAAGCATGGATTTTCTTGTATTCTAATTCCAGCAGTCCCATACCATCACCTAACTACCAAAAAGGGTCTTGTAAATTTTCCCAGACTGTAAATTTTGCCATTTTTTTTCCTGTGTTTTGGAGCTTTGCTTTTTTTTAGTTTCTACGGTTTTTTGAAGGTCTTAGTGGTAATGTTAATTAGCTAACTACTTTCTATTAATAACCAATTTGTACTAGATTAAAGATGAGGCTCTTTCTGATGAAGATGAATGTGTTTCCCATGGAAAGAACAATGGTGAAGATGACATGGGTGAGTGGAGAACCAATGAGCAAGGGAAAAAGGCAAAGCAGACTCATTTGATGTGTGTTTCAAATAGATGAGTATTCAGTTTATCGAGCAATCTGAACTCTGAGGAGATTTTTAAATGGTTCATAATTATTTTTTTTTCTTTTAAAAATTGACATATAAGCCGGGCGCGGTGGCTCACGCCTGTGATCCCAGCACTTTGGGAGGCCGAGGCGGGTGGATCACGAGGTCAAGAGATCGAGACCATCCTGGTCAACATGGTGAAACCCCGTCTCTACTAAAAACACAAAAAATTAGCTGGGCATAGTGGCACATGCCTGTAATCCCAGCTACCCAGGAGGCTGAGGCAGGAGAATTGCCTGAACCCAGGAGGTGGAGGTTGCGGTGAGCCGAGATCGCGCCATTGCACTCCAGCCTGGGTAACAAGAGTGAAACTCCGTCTAAAAAATTAAATTAAATTAAATTAAAATTAAAATTAAAATTGACATATAGCAGGGACACAGATGAATCTGGAAACCATCATTCTCCGTAAACTGACACAAGAACAGAAAACCAAACACAGAATATTCTCACTCATAAGTGGGTGTTGAACAATGAGAACACATGGACACAGGAGGGGAACATCACACACTGGGGTCTGTTGGGGGGTGTGGGGCTAGGGGAGCAATAACAGGGAGTGGGGAGCTTGGGGAGGGATAACATTAGGAGAAATATCTAATGTAAGTGAAGGATGGAGGGAGTCAGCAAACCACCATGGCGTGTGTATACCTATGTAACAATCCTACAAGATCTGCGCATGTACCCTAGAACTTAAAGTATAATAAAACAAAATTGACATATAATTGATGTGCATATTTTCAGAGTACATGAGATAATTTGATATATTAATTAAATCAGGGTAATTGGGATATCTCTCACCTTAAATATTTATCTTTTCTTTATGCTAGGAATATCCAAATTATTTTCTTCTAGCTATTTTGAAATGTACAACAGATTAATGTTAACTATAGTCACGCTACTGATCTCTTGAAAACCAGGTCTTATTTCTTCTATCTGTAGATTGTACCTATTAATCAACCTTTCTTCATCTCTCTCTCTCCACTTCCTGGCCTCTGGAAGTAGAGACTACTCTACTGTCTATCTTTGTGAGATCCATTTTTTAAGTTCCCATATATGAGTGAGAACATGTGCTATTTGTCGTTCTGTGCTTGGGGACTTACTTCACTTAACATAATGACCTCCAATTCTATCCATGTTGCTGCAAATGACAGGATTTTAATTTTTTAAAATAATGGATAGTATTCCATTGTGTATGTATACCACATTTTCTTTATTCATCCATTGATGGGCCATTAGGTTGATTCCATATTTTGCCTATTGTGAATGTTGCTGCAATAAACATGGGAGTGCAGCTATCTCTTCAATATGTTGATTTCTTCTCTTTTGGATATATACATAGTAGTGGGATTGTTGGATCATATGGTAGTTCTATATTTGTTTTTTGAGGAACCTCCATACTGTTTTCCATAGTGGCTTACTAATTTACATTCATACCAGCAGTATATTAGCATTCCCTTTCCTCTACATCCTCACCTCATTATTCCTTGACTTTTTTTTTTATAGTACCCATTCTAACGGGTGAGATGACATGTTATTGTGATTTTATGATTTGCATTTTCATGATGATTAGTGATATTGAGCATCTTTTTCATATACCCATTGGCCATTTTTAGGCCTTTTTTGGGAGAAATGTCTACTCAGATCTTTTGCCCGTTTAAAAATCAGATTATCTTTCTTTTTGCTTTTGGGTTGTTTGAGATCCTTATATATTCTGCTTATTAATCTCTTGTCAGAGAGATAGTTTGCAAATATTTTCTCCCATTCTGTGGATTGTCTCTTCACTTTGTTGATTGTTTCCTTTGCTCTGTTTCCCATTTTTTGCTTGATGTGATCTCATTTATTTTTGCTTCTGTTGCCTATGCTTTTGAGGTGTTACATAAAAAAATCTTAGCTCAGACCAATATCCTGGAGCATTTCCCCAATGTTGTCTTTTGATAGTTTCATAGTTTCAGGTCTCAGAATTGTGCCTTTAATCTATTTTGATTTTATGTTTGTATATGGTGAGAAATAGAGGTGTAGTTTCATTCTTTTGCATATGGTTATCCAGTATAACCAGCACCACTTATTGAAGAGAATGTCCTTTCACCATTCTTGGCACCTTTGTTAAAATGAGCTATCTATAAATGTGTGGATTTACATCTGGGTTCTCTATGTGTTTTTATGTTAGTACTTTGCTGTTTCGGTCACTATAGCTTTGTAGTATAATTTGAAGTCAGGTAGTGTGATGCCTCCAGGTTTGTTCTTTTTGCTTAGGATGGCTTTGGTTATTTGGGGTCTTTTGTGGTTCCATATACATTTTAGGATTATTTTGTCTATGTTTGTAAAGAATGTCATTGGTATTTTGATAGGGATTGCATTGAATCTGTAAATTGCCTTGGGAACTATTAACATTTTGACAATATTAATTCTTCCAATCCATCACCATGGAATATCTTTCTATTTGTGTGTGTGTATGTCCTCTTCAATTTCTTTCATCAGTGCATTATAGTTTTCCTTGTAGAGAGCTTTCACATCTTTGGTTAAATCAAATTCTACCTATTTTATATTCTTTATAGCTATTGCAAATGAGATTGCTTTCTTGGTTTCTTTTTCAGATTGTTTGCTGTTGGTATATACATATGCTACTGGTTTTTGTATGTTGATTTTGTATCCTGCAACTTTACTGATTTTATCCAGTTCTAACAGTTTTTTTGGTGAAGTCTTTGAATTAAAGTGGTAAAAGCAGACCTCCTTGTCTTATTTGATATCTTTGAGGGAAGGTTTTGAAATTTCCCCCATTCACTACAATGTTGGTTGTGAGTTTGTTATACATGGCTTTTATTGTTTTATGTTCCTCCCATACCCAGTATTTTGAAGGTTTTTATCATAAAGGTAATTCAAATTTCATTGAATGGTTTTTCAGCATCTATTAGAATTATTATATGGTTTTTTCTTTTTTTTTTTTTTTTGAGACGGAGTTTCGCCCTTGTTACCCAGGCTGGAGTGCAATGGCGCAATCTCAGCTCACCGCAACCTCCGCCTCCTGGGTTCAGGCAATTCTCCTGCCTCAGCCTCCTGAGTAGCTGGGATTACAGGCACGCGCCACCATGCCCAGCTAATGTTTTGTAGTTTTAGTAGAGACGGGGTTTCACCATGTTGACCAGGATGGTCTCGATCTCTTGACCTCGTGATCCACCCGCCTCGGCCTCCCAAAGTGCTGGGATTACAGGCTTGAGCCACAGCGCCCGGCCTTATATGGTTTTTTCTTGGCTCTGTTAATGATTTGATGAATCACGTTTTTTGATTTACATATGATAAAACCTTTTTACATCCCTGGGATGAATCCCACATGGTGAATGATCTTTTTGATGTGTTGTTGAAGTTGGTTTGTTAGTATTTTGTTTAGGATTTTTGCCCCTCTGTTTCTCAAGGATATTGGCTTAGTTTTCTTGTTTTGTCATGTCCTTGTCTGGTTTTGCTATCAGGACAATTCTGGCCTCACAGAATGAGTTTGGAAATTTTCCCTCCTCTTCATTTTTTTCTGAAGAGTTTGAGTAGAATTGGTATTAGTTATTCTTTAAATGCTTGGTGGAATTCAGCATTGAAGCCAGCAGGTCCTGAGATTTTCTTTGGCAGAAGACTTTTTATTACAGTTATCTTGTTATTTGTTATTGGTTTGTTGAGGTTTTTAAAATTTCTTCATGGTTCAATCTTGGTAGATTTCATGTATCCAGGAATTTATCTATTTCTTCTAGGTTTTCAAATTGGTTGGTATATAGTTGTTCATAATAGTACCTAATAATTCTTTATATTTCTGTGGTTTACAGTTGTTATGTCCCCATTTTCTTTCTGATTTTATTTGGGTCTTCCTTTTTTTCTTAGTCTAGTTAAAGGTTCATTGATTTTGTTTATCTTTTCAAAAAATCAACTTTTTGCTTCATTGATCTGTATTTTTTAGGCTTAATTTCATTTATTTCTGCTCTAATCTTTATTATTTTTTTCCTAGTACTAATTGGGGATTTGGTTTACTATTGCTTTTTTAGTGCATTTGGGTGCATCATTAGGTTATTTAAAGTGTTTCTATGTTTTTTGATGTAAGTATTTATTGCTACAAACTTCCCCTTTACTGTATTACTCCTTTTACTGTATCCCATAGATTTTGGATGTATATTTCCATTTTCATTTGTTTCAAGAAATTTAAAATTTTCTTTTTAAATTTGTCCATTGACACATTTGTTGTTCAGGAGTATGTTGTTTAATTTTCGTGTGTTTGTGTAGCTTCTGAGGTTCCTCTTGTTATTGATTTCTAATTTTATTTCACTATGGTCAAAAAAGATATATATGATTTCTGCTTTTTTGAACTTGTTGTGACTAGTTTTGTGGCTTATAATTTGCCCTATTCTGGAGGATAGTCCATGTGCTGACGAAAATAATGTCTTTTATGTAGCAGTTAGGTGAAATCTTCTGTAAATGTCAGTTAGGTCTGTTTAGCCTAGTATGCAGTTTAACTCTGAAGTACGTCTTCTGTCTGAATGATCTGTCCATCACTAACGGTAGGGTGTTAAAGTCCCCTATGATTATGGTATTGCAGTCTACTCTTTTTTTAGATCTATTAATGTTTGTTTTTTATATACTTGGGTGTTCTGGTGTTGGGTGGATATTTATAATTGTTATATTCTCTTGATGAATCGATCCCTTTATCACTATATAGTGACCTTCTCTGATCGAAGTATAGCTACTCTTGCTCACTTTCGGTTGCCACTTGCAAAATCTTTTTCCATGCCTTCACTTCCAGTCTACGTATCTTTATAGGTAAAGTGGATTTCTTGTAGGCAGCATATAGTTGGGTCTTGATTTCTTGGTATTTGTTTTTGTTTTTGAGACAGTCTAGCTTTGTCACCCAGGCTGGAGAGCAGTGGCGTGATTGTGGCTCACTGCAACCTCCACCTCCCAGGTTTAAGTGATTCACATGCCTCAGCCTCTCGAGTAGCTGAGATTACAGGTGTGTGCCACAAAGCCAGGCTATTCTTTGTATTTTTAGTAGAGACAGGATTTTGCTATGTTGGCCAGGTTAGTCTTGAACTCCTGGCCTCAAGTGATCTACCTGCCTCAGCCTCCCAAAGTGCTGGGATTACAGGTGTGAGCAAGTGTGCCCAGCCAGGTTTTGTTTGCTTTTTAACCATTCATCTACTCTATGTCTTTTAATTGGAAAATTGAGTTCATTTACATCCAATGTTATTATTGATAAGAAAGGACCTACTATTGTCATTTTGTTTTTTGTTTTCTGGTTGTTTTCTAACTCTTCCTTTCTTCCTGTCTTCCTTTGTGCTGAAGTGATTTTTCTCTGCTAGTATGTTTCAAGCATTGCATTTTCAGTGTATCTATTATAAGTTTTTGTTTTGTGGCTACCATGAGGCTTAGAGAAAACACCTTTTTTGGGGGGATAGAGTTTCACTCTGTTGCCTAGGCTGGAGTACAGTGGGATGATCTTGGCTCACTGCAACTTCCACCTCCTGGGTTCAAGTGATTCTCATGTCTCAGCCTCCAGAGTAATGGGGATTACAGGTGTATGCCACCATGCCCAGCTAATTTTTGCATTTTTAGTAGAGATGGGGTTTTACCATGTTGGCCAGGCTGGTCGCAAACTCCTGACCTTAGGTGATCTGCCTGCCTTGGCCTCCCAAAGTGCTGGGGTCACAGGTGTGAGCCACTGCTCCTAGCCACAGAAAACATAGATATAACAAATTATTATTATTATTTTTTTGAGATGGAGTCTCACTCTGTTGCCCAGGCTGGAGTGCAGTGGCACGATCTTAGCATACTGCAACCTTTGTATCCCAGGTTCAAAGATCCTCCTGCCTCAGCTTCCCAAGTAGCTGGGATTACCAGTGTGTGCCACCACACTTGGTTAACTTTTGTATTTTTTGTAGAGATGAGGCTCCACCATGTTGGCCAGGCTGGTCTCAAATACCTGACCTCAAGTGATCTGCCTGCCTCAGCCTCCCAAAGTGCTAAGAGTACAGGCATGAGCCACTGTGTCTGGCTGGTATAGCAAGTTACTTTCAAGAGATAACAGCTTATCTTAGATAATAAAAAGAGTAGAAACAAATAAAAAAAAAAAAAACAAAAACAAAGGGTAGAAAAAAAAAAAAAAAAAAAAAATAAAAAAAAAAAAAAAAAAAAAAAAAAAAAAAAAAAAAAAAAAAAAAAAAAAAAAAAAAAAAAAAAAAAAAAAAAAAAAAAAAAAATTTTTTTTTTTTTTTTTTTTTTTTTTGTCTTTTAGTATTTTGGAAATGTCATTCCACTGTCTCCTGGCCCATGTGTTTTCTATTGAGAAGCCTGTTGCTAGATAAATCAGATGAACTCTGGGAAGCTTAACCATAAAATACTTTCTCTCCAGTCACTTGACTTCAAATATACTGTGTCCAATCTCCCTTCTGATCTTTACCAGCATCTTGGGCACATTTCATAGCTTTTGATTATGTTCAAATATAACAGGTGTGACTTTCATCACAATTACCAGGCATCAACAAAAGCTGCATTTAATAAAATGGAGTGAGCAACACCAATAATTGAAAGCAATGATGCTGGTGTTTATTTCCTTAGTCCTTATTTGAACTAAAAAGCTTAAGCTTCTTTTTTCACCTCTTTCTTAAACATTGGAAAACCTTTCCTTCCCCAAGTCCTACAACCTCTTTCTTGTATTACCCAAATATTAACTCACAGATTTTACACTCCTGGGTTCCATATGAGAACAACTTGGCCTGACAGAGTGAAAAAAAAGCTAAGAGTTAGGAAGGCTGTTGCTGTGACAGTGTCTCTTGGTGGTAACTGAGACATGAGGGAAAACCAGAATTAGGCTCAGGAAGTATGTTGATAAGAGGGGGAAGATTTTTTAAATTATTGCTTGAAATAGACTGTTTTTACATGTGTGGAGAATAAGAATTGTTTGAGTTGGATTCTAACAAGGGAGGAGGCACAGTTTAGGACAGCAAGAAGACTTCAAGGGTGAAGAGAAAATCAGTGATTGTAATTCTGCAGGAGACATTTGTTTCTCCCCTTTTGCATTATCTCCTCTTTCTTCCCTCCTCCATGATTTCCTCCCAAATCAAGTCTCCTCCAGAAAACCACATAAGATCCTGCCCTTGCCCCTAGCCTTCCTCTTATTCACAGACAAGCTTCCTGAACTTTGTCCACCTTCATTTTCCATTCATGCCCTGACCTGCTGCAATCTGGCCTCTGTGCTCACTACTCCCTGAAATGGTGCCTACTGGTAGCACCAACAGGTAGTTTCCAGTGCAGATCTTACGGGATTTTTCTGCAGAATTTGATGTTTACAATGTCTTCCTTCCCAAAACCTTATCTTTGAGTTGCTGAGATATCATGACTTGATTTATTTTCCTTCTACGACTCTGGCCTCTCCTCCAGTTTCTCCTTCATTGGCTTCTTTTCTTGTGGTGTCCTTTTAAGATGAAGCGCCCCAGGCTCCTGCTTTGGTCTCTTCTCTTCTTCCTCTACCTCTAGGTGATCTTACAAATCAGTCAATTTATAATGGAATTTGTTGTAAGAGTCTCTTAAAATCTAAATATTCATAACATGTTAGAAATAGTAATCTCAGGAATAACAGATTTGTTGCTTGAAATGATTTATACTTTTGCAGTAAATGTTTTTGAGATTTTCAGAGTAGAAAGCCCCCTTTAAATGTAGATATTATCTTGTTTCATTTCAATGCAACCAACATAAAAGCTGAGAAACAAAACATGTGATGGGAGCATTATGATTCTGTGGAGAGTGTAGATAACTTACCAAAGACAAGTTTACGTAACATAGCAGGAGGACAATGGAAGTGGGCTCATGCACTAGACACAGACCTCCCTACAGCTCCTGTGGGGCTCAGCAGAGGACTCTGATCCTGTGGCACCTCCCTCATTGTCATAGCTAATTGGACTGGTGGATGCTCTTTCAAAGGCAGTCAATCAGCAGACTGGCCAGTGAGCTGGGGCTGATACCTTGGCTCAAACCAATGAGTGGGGCAATCTGGCTTCTCTCAGGAGAACTTGAATGGAGAGAGAGTGCTAAACCTGCAATCTGGTAGTATGTGCTGGAGCTAGGAAGTCATGGAACATCATGCAGGCTCAGGGCCTAGAGGAGCCATTTTTAGCCACATGGCAGGAAAGAGAAAAAGCAGCAGAAGTGCAAGAGCCAGTAGAGAGGAGAGCGCATGGAAGACAGCCGGAAGAGGCTGGGAATCATGAGAGGGTGACAGGAAGAGATGAGGGCAGCCAGGCCTGTGTTGCCCATGCTCCAGGCTACCCTCTCACTTTCTCCTATACCTCCTCTTCTCCCTACTCCCCAGGCCAACTCAATTCAGTTGTTTCTGGATTTCTGGTCCCAAGCAGTCTTTCAGCAATCCCTTTCCCCATGTTCCTCCTCCACCACCTGCCCAGGTTCATTGAGCCAGTCTCTGAGTCTCTGTCCCTTGCAGCAAGATGGAGGCTGAGGTCTGGCATCAGACTGCTGCATCCACCAGAGTCCAGGTTTGCAGGGGCAAAACTAAGAGGCCAGGGGAGGGAACCCTGAGAGCCCAAGCCTGTGCCTGGCACTTGGTACAATGGAGCCTTGTGTAGAGGCAGCATTGTTTTTGTGGATGGCCTCCTGAGAGCCTCAAACACCAGCATCTGATAGCACCATCTTTTGGCTTATTTAGTTTCATCAGAGAGGACCTGTACCTTGGCCATCATTAAACCGGATGCAGTGGCCCATGGAAAGACTGATGAGATTATTATGAAGGTAAGAGAGACAACACTTACCATGCACCACCGTCCTTGTGTCCTCTCTTGTGGATAAACAGGGATGGGGCACTGGGCAGTGATATCCTAGTGCAGAAAGATGACTTCTAAGGGGTTGTAGCTCAAACTCCATTCAAGTAAATGAAAATGTTAAATCTGATTGGTCAGATAATGTGGGGGTAAGGGTCTCCATAGCCTTTAATCTTGCCTGTCTTTATTTTTTACCTTTCAACTAAATTAATTAATGTGAATGTGGGCTTGATTTACCCTTTCAGAATATTTATATATATTCTACAGATTCAGGAAGCTGGGTTTGAAATTCTAACAAATGAAGAAAGAACCATGACAGAGGCAGAAATGCGACTTTTCTACCAACACAGAGCTGGAGAGGTCAGCTCACCTACTTCCACCAGTTCAACACACTCTCATTTCTCTTTCTCCAACATTATGCTTATAGGTTGACATTAGTTTATGACAGAAGAAACCATGAAGAACCAAAATAGAAACAGCAAGTAGGTCATGAATTTGTTCTCAGAATGACAATAGGCTGTATCAGGTAAAATTTTTTGATTGCAAAGAAAAGGTTTGACTCTAAGTAATGAAATAAGAAGGATATTAGAAGGATAGCCCATAACTCATAGAATTGAAGGAAGAGTTTAATGAGAAGGGCTTGGAGACAAAGGGAAGCTGGGATCTCAGCAGCAAAGTGTCAAGCATATCATTTTAGAAGCTGCTTTGGCCTAGCTTGGGTCACAGACCTTCCTTTTAGGTCAGGGGTGGGTGTGAGTGTGTGTGTGTGTGTGTGTGTGTGTGTGTGACTAGGCATCATGGTTGTCGGTCAAACTAGGACCAAATGAAATGGGTAAGAGCTGGTCCCCAAAGGAAAACCAGAGACCAGAGTACTGTTACTTGAGGAGGGAGGAAGGGTTGTGAGGCATTGCATGGAAAAAAAGTACCAACTATATTTCACCCTTTGGTTATCCAGCATCACACAATTTCCATAGATATGGTCTTTTAAATATCTCTGCCTAACTTATAATCATCTCATGTTCATCCTTAAATGAGTCATCTTCAAAGTCTCATCATTCTGGGTTCTCTGAATGGTTGGTCATCACTACCACCCAATCCCTCACACCCTCCACAGCAGGCAGAGGTGGCCAGGCAGAGGCAGGGTGCAGTTGGCTGAGTGGCCACAGGCATGCTGGCTGGTAACAAGGCTGCTCACTAACTCCCTCCCATCCTGTGAGTGAGATGGGCTTGCTGATCCTCTGCAGGCCCTAGCAGCTCCTGCCCTGAGTCACGGTTTTCCCTCCCTGTGCCTAGGAGGCATTTGAGAAGCTGGTACATCACATGTGCAGTGGACCAAGCCACCTCCTGATCCTCACCCGGACTGAGGGCTTCGAGGATGTGGTCACTACCTGGCGAACCATCATGGGCCCCTGTGACCCCAATGTGGCCAGGAGGGAGCAGCCTGAAAGGTGACGTCACCAGCTGTGGTCCTTTCATCCATCTTAAAACCTGCATCCCAGGAGGCTGAGTCCCACTCAGTGTTTAGCCCAGAATCATGGGTAACACAGAGGACTCTCTCATGGCCAGAAGCCTCCCTCTTATATATTTGGGGAGACCCTGACATCTTCCCACACTGGTCCAGTTCCCAGCCTTTGCTGAGTGCCTTTTGTAAGCTGCCTCCTCTCCTGCTCTGTCCTCTTCTAAAGGCTGCTGCTGGATTCATTCCTCCGTCATTGTTTTCTCTTTTCAGCCAGAGGATTCCATAGTACACTCCCAGGAAAATACAGATTCTAGGGCCCCATTCAAGCCTGTCAGTCAGAGACTCTGGGGCATAGACTGAGAATCAGCACTGTAGTCTCAATGCCATCCAATCCTATTCCCCATCAGGGTGTCCTGAGGCCCTCGTGTGTCTGAGTACCCTGTTCTGCACATTGCACTGGGCTGGCTTGGCCTGCTTTTTGGACTTAGGAGTATTTAGCCTGGCACCATCAATCCAAATCCACTGTACCTTGGACTTTGAAGCTGACAGGCCCAGACAACAGGAAAAAAAATTAGAGAGGCCAAGAAACTGCAGTTGTACTTTGTAGCTGAAGGGGACCAGGAACATTTATATATGAGGCAGGCTGGGCTAATGAAAGCCAGCTCAGGATTCAGATCTTAGGTCACTGCAAGTCTTTTCTCAGCCTGAGTTCTCTCAACTGTAAAATGGGGATATGAGCATTCATCACGAGTGTATATATATACATGTATGTATCTCACCGAGAGTAGTGTTTGACACACAGGAAATCATAGCAATATATTTTCTTACAAGGTTATTGCAAGGATGACTATGCAAAGCTATATCAAGCACTTGGTATGGTCCTCCCCTCTGGTAATAATATTGACAAAATGGCAGCTCCTGTGCTTATACCATTACTCGCATATCTTTAGAACGGGGGTAACAGCAGTCTCCCTCATAGGGCTGTGGCAAAAATACAATGGGATCGTGTAGGTAAAGCACCCAACCATGTGCCCAGCACACCACTATGACCACATAAATGCCAGCTACTATTATCATTGCTGCCATTCTTAGTATTTCCTGCAGAGAAAGCAATTTCACAGGAATGCAGGGTGCTGATTGGTAGGTAGTGATCATGTTGCCAGAAAGCAAAACATTTATTTTCAAATGAAACAATTGTTTCTTTTATGTTTTGCCAATGTTCCCAGTCTTCGGGCTCAGTACGGCACAGAAATGCCCTTTAATGCCATCCATGGAAGCCGGGATAGAGAAGATGCTGACAGAGAACTGGCATTGCTCTTCCCCAGTTTGAAATTTTCAGACAAAAATACAGAAGCCCTTCAGGGTAAGTTATCAAGGCAGATTTGGTTTTTATTCAGTCATAGATACAAGGCATTTATGACTATGTGCTTGAGTGTGTGGGGGATTGATAATTTTTGGTAACTAAGTTTTCAATCTAACACAGTCCTAAATATACAGGTGATTATATAACTTGAGTATCAATACTAAACTGTTTTGTGTTCTCATAGAGTAACAGTGTTGCTTTTTAATACCTCATTAAATTTTTTGCTGCTTATTTTGGAGTCATATTTTTGTTGCAAAAGTAATTTATTTGCATTTCCCTGTGGAAACCATTGTGGAAATTTAATTAACTTTCTGGAAACCCACTTCAAAGCCAGTCAAGAGGCCAGGCATGCTCCATATACTCCATGTTAAGCCCCTAAGGGCTTGCTGAGAAACGGGGAGCTATATGGAAGGGCCCTTGACCTTGAGCCTGCTGTGACCTCATCTCCCTCAGCCCCACATTTCAATGCATGACTGTTGTTTAGGACCTTCCCCTCATGGGAAGCACTCAGACAGCCTCTGGGAAAGGCAAACCTGGTGGGATCACCACCTCCAAATCTGGGTAAGAACCCCAAGGGGTCTGGAGCCTACCCCACAACCAGCAAACTGCTGCAATACATGTTTGGGCTTGAAATGAGTGGAAGGGGCCGGGATATGATTATCTTGGGAAAACCCAAAGGATGTGAGGGTTGGATTCTTGGGAGAAGGCCACATTCACATCTGAAATGGCAATAATCGATGTATGTCTAAATGTTTGGGTTTTAATCAATGCATTTGCCTAAATGTTTGATACGCTCATGGTCTCAAGGTCTGAAATGCAGCCAAGTCAGAACAGGTGGGCTTGCCATTGCCCTCTGAAGTAGAATTATTCCCACTGCCAGCTGAGGAACAAGCTGAGCATGCAACAGAGGTTGGAGAGCCAGGAAATCCTGGGGAGTGTGGCTCTATGTGGATCAGACACACTCCTGGCCAGCTTTCCTCTGGGACCTGCCCTCAGAGAGTCCATGATGCATCTCTTTATGTGTCCAGGGTTGTGGGGCACCTTCAAGCTTTTGGGAATGGGGGGTGGTGATTGGAAGCAAATAGCTATAACTCAGAGCCAAGTCTGGGGCAAGAGGTAGGGGAACTGGCTGGGAAATTCTCATTGGGCTGTTGGAAGTACTGGAAGATCATGAGACTGACTTTTTGGCCTCAGGTGATAAGAAAAGGGGCTATCTGCAGACCACATCCTGGGAATTAGTGCACAGCCTCCTTTGGACACACTGAAGCAGCCTGGCTGGGGTGCTGTTCTGCCCATTTATTCTAATGTGTCACACTTTCTCAGCTTTGGGGAGCAGTATATGCCTCCATTGTACTTAGTACTTTTCTGCTAAGAAAAAGGCAGGAGTTAAGGTGACAGACTATCCTGAGTTTGAATCCTGGCTCTGCTGTTCCCCAGCTGAAGAGCCTCCAAAAAGTTACTTACCTTTTCTGGGTTTCAGTTTCCTCATCTGTGAAATGGAGATGATAGACTCGTCATAACCACAAATAACTTCATAATAAAAATCTTCATCATAGAGCTGTTATGAAGATGAAAGAATATAAAGCTCTTGGTCTGGGATATGACACAAATTAAATGCTCAACCAATGTTACCCATTCTAATTTCTTTAATTCCTAGTCCCTAACACATATCAGGATTTATTTGCTGGCCCTCCCGCTCTGACCTTTAACTTTCCGTTTCTTTGTGGATAGTGGGTGGGATGGAAGATCTGGGACAGGCTGTTTCAGGAGTCCTACCGAACATCTGTCATCCCACAGGAGGTGAGGCTGAAGAGGCAGCGGGGGCCCACTAAGGCGCTTTGCTTTCCAGAGGATATGGATTGAGATGGCTGTGCTGCTCTTCCGGAGCACGTGACCAGGGGTCTGCTGCACAAAAGGGATCTCCAAAATCGGAACTTACTGTTTTGAGTATCAATACTTTTTGGTTTAGCTGTCTTTTGTAGACAATGAAAATAATACGGCTGGATGCGGTGGCTCATGCCTGTAATCCCAGCACTTTGGGAGGCTGAGACAGGTGGATCACCTGAGGTCAGGAGTTTGAGACCAGCCTGGCCAACATGGTGAAACCCCATCTCTACTAAAAATACAAAAAAATTAGCTGGGTGTGGTGGTGCACACTTGTAATCCCAGCTACTTGGGAGGCTTAGGCATGAGAATCGCTTGAACCCAGGAGGTGAAGGTTGCAGTGAGCCGAGATCATGCCACTTCACTCCAGCCTGGGCGACAGAGTGAGACTCCATCTTAATAAAAAGAAAGAAAGAAAGAAAATAGTATATACTGCCTTATTAAACAGTATGTAGAACACAGTTTTTTTTCTGTCTTTGGGATTTTGCAAAATAAATGGACATCAGTTATTACATCCTGTTGTGAGATACAATGTCATCTCAGAGGATACTGGATTATATGAGATGGTGTTTGCCCAACAAATCTACCTTATGAATTAAACAATTTTAGAACTTAATTTGGTAACCATGAGCTTGAAAACAGTGCAGCAAGACTGGCTATTACAGTTGCAGGCACACTGATGCCATGGCAGATATAAATAGGTTCCAAATGCTTCCACGCCTGCCCAAGTCACACTGACAGTCATTTAATTGCTGCCAGATTCACCCATCTGCAGTTCTCTATTACCAGGGCATGTTCATAAAGCAATGCTTGGACATTACATTTGGAACCAAGGTTCATTTAATTTTCTTGATGCATCCCTCCCCCATTTCTCTGGTTTCTGATTCTGGCTGAAGCCTAAATTTAAAAGCTGAGAGCTCCTAGTGGGGCCAGGTTGTCTTCAGCTTTCACTGAGTGCCTGGCTTAGCCATCTCTCTGTACTTCTTTCCTTGAGGGACACAGGATTTCAGTAAAAAGTAGCGATTATGACCACTTGGGAATATTAGCACACAATGCCACCCCATCTAACCACTCTATTTGTAAGTTTGCCAAATGCAGGCATACTTTTTCCTTTGAGGAAAAGGCCATGTTCTTCTATACCACAAAGCAAATGTGAGCCTCTTCCTCCTTGCTGGTTTTATCCATGACTATTCTTTAAATGGGGAGTTAGCTCCCAGAGGACTTCTTTGTGGGTGTATCACACTTTGTCAGCCTAGCACAAGGCACTCTGTGCTAGTCCCTGGGCTGGCTCTGGGGACACATGGATAAGTCAGTCCCCAGAGGTGGGAACCAAGGCCAGTGACCTTGGGCAGGCCCTACTGTTTAAGGTCACTGTGTTTCCCAGGACCTTGTGTCATCCCTGGATGGAAACATACGTGTCCACGGTGCTCATCTGTACCTGTACAGGTTCTCAATGTGCCCAACAGAGACCTCAATGACAGGACCTTTCAGGAAGCTGGATGCAGTATTCCAGACCTGCAAGACTCACAGCCCACGACGGGGCTGTGCTCTTCCCCTTGGGAGTGAGCTCAGGAGTGGGGCCCATATAGTCTGTGCCCACCTCAGAAGTGGCAAACAACCTGGACAAGCCCTATGCCTGGGCTTTCCACACCACAGGTGTGTGTGGCTCTGAATGAGCAACTTGGAGGGGGTGCACCCAGCAGACAACCACCTGATCTCCCCAGAATCTGGGAAGCCAAGGATTTTCCAACACTGGTGAGGTAAGGGATGGAGCCACCAGGGCTTCCAAAGCAGGGGAGGGGGGAAAATAAGGTGGGGGAACTGAGCCTGTGTTCTTGTGTCAGTGATGAATGAAGCAGCTGGGCAGGGCAATGCAGGCAGGCGGGGCACCAGGTGATGGGGCTAGAGTGGGAGGAATGGTGACATGCTCCTTCTTCCCATTACTGGTGACTGAGGGATGCCATGGGTTCAGCATCGCAGGGCATCTTTAGGAGTCCACAAGCTTCATGGGATAAGGAAGAGGGGATGGGGTCTAAGGGGGTTCCTGAGAGTGGCTCAAGTATTAGCCCACTCTCAGAGGATGGAACTCATTGGCGGAGACCCTGGGCCTGGTTTCCCACAATAGAAGCAAATCAGGAATTAAAGGATAGGTGCTGTTTTTGGCTTTAAGGCCTCTTGGCTCCTGGGTGTGAGTGTCTGATAGGGAGGAGGGCAGGCTCAGCTCCATGAAGTCAAGGGGGGTGGTTTCACTTAAGGACTGGTTCTGGTTTCACTTAAAGACTGATTACTTGCCAAAGCCAGGAGCCAGGGGCTGCAGAGACAGAGGGAGGAAACGTGCCTTAATAGTCTACTCCATGGCCCTTAGGGGGTGTTCCCTGAGCCTTCCCTGAACCCAGATCCTGGACCTTCTCTCATGCTGAACATAACTATGTGCCTCTCTGCCCAGTAAACAGGGAAGGGGCAGGATAGGGATAGCACCAGTCCTTATCCCAGGTGGTAAGAAATTGGAACCTTTATGTCAGCCCTCCATCAAGATCTGGGGTGGGAGTCCCCCTTTCCTCCTTTCTTAGGCCTCACTTCCAAGATTTCCCTGTGTCAGTTATGGGAAATGGGGGCCTGCCTGGCCCTGCTCCTACTCTCTTGACCTTACCTTGGGTCTTCTCAGAGGTTCCCACCACGATTATTCCCTCTCCTGCTAGCCAGCTCATCGTCCTTCCGCCATGCTCTGGCGCAGATGTCCTTGGCTTTGTTTACAGTGAGGCCCTGAGACAGGATGTGCCTACGATTCCGAGACAGGAAAAGGTGGCAACATGTGGTAGATGAAGAGCACCTGTGTGTCCTTGCAGAGGGACCGCATGCGCTCGCACACTGTGCATCTGGTGGCAGTGGAGATGGAGCATACCTAAGGAGAAGAGCATGGAGGGGGTGGACATGACATTGGGGACAGGATATCTTGTGGCTGGGAGTGGCCACCTATGAAGGGTCTGCTGGCCTTCAGAAGGAAGCCAAAAAGAGAGGGGTCCCCAGACTCCTACAGATGCCTCTGGGAGCCATAGTTACCCTAAGGCACTGGCTCCCACTCTGAAATGCAAAGCCACTTCCCAGACTTTCATTTACCAAGAATCACAGGTTCCAAAACCTGTACACATTATCTTCTGATGTTTCCTAATGTTCTAGACATTTGGAAAACAGACTCCTTTTTAGAAGTTGCCATGATTTTTCTTGGCTTTTTTATTAGCATGTGTTAAAATCATATTATCCAAACACTACCAGAAGAACATGTATTGTTCTGAATAAAGTGCTTAAGGGAAAAAAAAATGCAACTTATTAAATTGGACATTCTTTTCTAGTTCATAAATTTTGGGTTACAATCAGGGCACAAAAGGAGAAACAGAATGCAGTATTAGAGCGAGAAGCTTAGTTAAGAACTTGGGTGTAGACACAAGACCATGTCCATTCTTCCCACTTCCTTGCTGACTGAACACTGCATCTGCATAAAGCAGCAAACAGCTTTGTTTCAATAAATACATTTCCCTTCATTCAAATCAGAAAAGTTAATTATAGTAAAGCATTTTTAATTTGACCATCTGTTTATACCCACAGGCAAGATTTCACCACAGAGTTTAAGTGTGAAAGTGTTATTTCATTGGGTCTTCAGCTTTCTAACGCTATTTGGGTTCAAGATTGTCTCAGCAATTCCTTATTGGTTTCTTTATATTTACCTGGTACTATTTAATACCAACACTACAGTGTTTTGTGTTAACAATGCCAACCAAGGATATTTTCACAGTACTAGAAACAATGAGTTTCTTTCCAATAAACAAAGTTTTCCTTTAACTGGGTTTCTCACATTAGCATTCTGATATCTGCACAAAACCCAAGTCCTGTTGTGACAGATTTTAAATCAGTGATGTTCTAAAAAAATAATAACTTGGAAATCTCTGTGTTTGAATCTTGGGTGGTCATGTTGAGAGCAGGAAAAATTGCATTAAATACATTTTTAAACATTCATTCGCAATCAAACATTTAAATCTTCCAAGGAAGGTGCAGGGTGGTGATAGGGCAGCTGCAGTGGGAGCAACCCCATCAGGAGTGGCTGGTAGGTGGGCTTGGGGCTCCATCTGTGGCACACACTCACCGCAAGCTTCTGGACTGCAGACCTTGCATCCTGGCTGCGATGCCTCTGACCTTCTTTTAGCAAAGAGAAAAGGCAGGCTGCTTCTACCTTCAAACAGTCAAGAGCAACTTCTGTTGAGTTCACCTTGCAGCTGACCCAGAAGTTGGAGCAGGGACCAAGCTAAGGGGTGCAGAAGGGCTAGGAGTACTTGCTGAAGTCATCTTTAGTCATCCTGGGGAGATTCCCTTGCCCCTCTCTCAACCTGGGTGCTTTTGGCTTCATGCAGGAAAAGATTTTAGTTGCATCTTTTATTGAATTTCAGTCTCATTTTACAAAAGCATACCAACTAGCAATCCTGAGCAACTAGTATGAAATTTGCTGAATACCGGTAAGAGAAAGCTTTCTAAACTATCCTGTTCTTTGTTCAGGTGTGTCTGTAGCACATTCTTTAGTTTCACAGTGATATATGCTGTTTCAGGAAGCACAAGGTGTCTGACTGTTTCTGGGAAGAGATGACCTACTTTTAATATGAGTGCAAGTTTCCATGACTGGTTCTAAATCTGGCCAGATATTGGTATACCAATGACAGGAGTTAGGGCAGTTGGGAGGCTCTCAGTCCCCAGTTCCTGTCAAGGGTAAGCCCATCTGGGTCACGACTGGGCTTTCACTATCAGTAGTTATATTTTCCTTTGATGCTTCAAAAAGCCTATGGTGAATCTGTCGCCTCACTTTACTCCTCCCTGTCCATCTGACTTGGTAGCCTGAGAACTTATTGAATTAGGATGAAAAAAGGCTCTGTACCTGCTAATATTGACGGTAGTAAGATGCTAGCTTACTATTTTGCACAGCACCATGTATAGTGCCTGTTAATCAGGCCAGCTATAGCCAACTTTTTCTTTTTTTTATATAAAGAAAATCTATGTAAGTTGAGGTTCAGAAATGCATATATTTTTTACTTACAAATATTCATCTGACCAAAATTCAACATAACCTTTATGGAACACTTAACAATTGTTTTGTTTTTAAAATAACATTTCATTCAAACTGTATATAATTCAGTAAAGTTTTTTATACAGCAAGCAATGCTTAAACCCTGGAAAATCTGTAGAAAAGAGATTTTCACACAAAATAAGAAAAGAAAAATCTGAGGTATCCCTCACACACACACATATCCATTCATTCTGGCCCACGTACGTGCACATACACACGCATGCCTGTGTGTTCACACAGACATATTCATTCTCACTCACAAAGTGGCTGCAGCATAGGCAAAAAATTGTAGGTCCAAAGGAAAATGATTGATTGTTCAGTAAAGAGTCCGGGTAGCTCAGAAAAAAACCAAAACAAAACCCAAGAGTCTTCTGAGGAAACTACTACCTCAAAAAAATGTTCTCAAGATGAATTTGAGATCTAAGCCTACTAAATTGCTTTTGCAAAACAGCTCCCTGCAGTCCAAGGTGACTTGTGCAAATAGAAGGAATCAAATGAGGCTGGTTCCTGTACTTCCTTAAACAAGGAGGTGGGATGCTCGCAGGTGCCCAGGGGTGTTCCCATCATGCCAGGTACTGCTGCAGTGCTGTCTTTGCCCTGAAATCACAAAATTCCTGTTAGCCATCATATCAGAATTGTAATTGGGGGAAAAAAACCCTATGGCTCAATGATGATAGTTGGGGAAGTCTAAAAAGTAAATCCCCAGAGGAAACTGGGGTGAGCCAAGGTGGGCACCTACCTTAAGGGGCAGAGATCTGCAGTGGGCAGATACCTCAAATCTATTCTGGCTGTACTCTTCTTCCTGTGGTTCTCTCAGAGGGCTGTTCCTGCTCCTAAACCTGCTGCAGCTCAGTGACATTCCACAGTCCCTGGTACGTACCGACATTATATAATATTCCTTTGTCATTGGCTTATAGTTGTGATAGATCTCTAATTCTTTTCTTTTTCTTACTGCCATGTAGGTTTTATGCAGTGAAGCCCAACACTAGGGGAGGACACTTAGGGTTCTGGGAAGCAAATAGGAAAACTGACCAAGGAAATGGTGTTGAGGTGCTGATTAGGTTCATGGAAGGGGCCAAGAGCCCATGGGATGAGGCTGTCTCATGCTTCACATGCCTCATAACTGTGGAAGAAGCCTACAATTTCATTTTGTTCTCATCACACCTGATCACACTATAACTGATCAATATGAGATGTGGGTTGTTACAGTGATGGGGGAAGAAGGTGGCCAGGTGGAAAGGAAAAGATAGAATGTAGGCCGGGCATGGTGGCTCATGCCTATAATGCCAGCACTTTGGGAGGCTGAGATGGGCGGATCACCTCAGGTCAGTTCAAGACCAGCCTGGCCAACATGGTGACATCCTGTTTCTACTAAAAATACAAAAATTAGCCAGGCATGGTGGCGGGTGCCTGTAATCCTAGCTACTCAGGAGGCTGAGGCAGGAGAATTTCTTGAACCTGGGAGGTGGAGGTTGCAGTGAGCCAAGATTGCGCCATTGCACTCCAGCCTGTGCAATAAGAGCAAAACTC